TATATATATATATATATATAGATATATATATATATATATATAGATAGATAGATATATATATATATATATATATAGATAGATATATATATATAATTATTTTATATTATTTTATAATAAAAAATTATAACAAATGCATGGGGCTCTTATTCTACAAATTACACAGCACAGTATAATGGTACGTGAAGATACCGTTAAATAGCAAATATAATACGAGTGATGAATAGATAACAGCATTATTTTTTTTAAGTATGAAGAAAAGTTCAAAATCAAGTGCTTCACATACTGTTCGGAGGTTTCGCCCACATAAACCGACATTGGACATTACGTGTATCACTATTTACTATGATACCCGGACACATCTACAATCATACGTCATCACACCCAGCTGCTGCATCACTGTACTTGCCTGCTCTCCTACTGCGCTGTCTGTGAGGTAGTCGTCACCTCCCTCCTCCTGCTCCAGTTCAGCAGCAGGAGGTACTATGTCCTCCTGGGTGGGAGGGGTCGGCATCGTGTCCGTACGCGGGCTCACGTCTCTCCTGCCATCCTGCCGGGGACGCGAGACACGACGACGGGGTCAGTAACACATTCACGCCAATCACCTCCTCCCTCTTCTTCATCGTAACTTCACTCTTCTTCTTCTCACATATCATTGCATCGGACCTCCTACTGGCACATATCATGCGTTGCATCGGACCTCCTACTAGCACATGACTCGTAGCATTATGTGCAGCATTATGTGCTTTTACCTTGTATACTACATATATATATATATATATATATAAATATTTATAATTTATATATATATTTATACATGTTGCATCGGACCTCCTAATGGCACATTGTCTCGCGTCTCTTACAATAAATAATTCATGCTCGCTTACATGCTATTACTGCCTCTGTACCACACTCTGCTCTCTTGGTTCCATACATTATCCCTGTCTCTCTCTTTCTCTCTCTCTCTGCCTTCCTTGCGCTCACTCTCTCTCTCTCTCCCCTCTATCTCTCTCTCCCTCCCTCCCTCCCCCTCCCCCGCCTACCATCAGCTCCTGCTGCTCCTGCTGCCGCTTCATCCAATGATACAGATCATCCTCCGACACCGCGTCCGACACCCCGCCCCCGCCGCCCGCAGCATCCTGCATCCCCGTTGCCGTAGCGACTGCAGCGGCGGTGGCGTGGCTGCGGTGGGGGTGGGAGAAGGAGTAGCGGGCCTCGCCCGTGTTAGGGTCGATGCTCACGGAACTCACGGAACAGCAGAAGTCGTTGTCGCTGGCCGCGGTCGCCATGGCGACGCCCGTAGGCTTCATGTCCAGTGAGTCCCTGCTCGCCAGCAGTACACCTGTGATGGAGATGTACACAGGTAAATACAGCTACACACCTGTATAGGTAAGTACACACATACACCTGTGATGGAGATGTACACAGGTAGATATAGATACACACCTGTATAGGTAAGTACACACATACACCTGTGATGGAGATGTACACAGGTAGATATAGATACACACCTGTATCAGTAAGTACACACGTACACCTGTGATGGAGATGTACACAGAGGTTATAAGCTACACACCTGTATAGGTAAGTAACACACTACACCTGTGATGGAGATGTACACAGGTAGATAAGATACAACCTGTATAGGTAAGTACACACGTACACTGTGGATGGAGATGTACACAGGTAGATATAGATACACACCTTATAGATACACACCTGTATAGGTAAGTACACACGTACACCTGTGATGGACACACATACACACAGGTAGATACAGCTACACACCTGTATAGGTAAGTACACATGTACACCTGTGATGGAGACACACACAGGTAGATACAGATACACACCTGTTATGAACACATGTGCATATATACAGATGAGTATAGTAGGTATACACATACACCTGTGATGGACACACATCTGTAATATGGACACATGCGCCCAGGTAGATGTACACACACATATATGTATCACATATATCTCTACCCTCCCACCCCCCCTTCTTCATCTCTCTCTCTGTATCTCTATCTTCTTCACTACCTGGTGAATCCTGGTGTAACGGCCGGTCAGCTTCATTCTGCTTTTTCCTCTTTCGATTAAACAGGTTACCTGTGACAGATATGTTACACACAATTTTTTTAATATAAATAATAACTGCACACGATAGCAAAGACATGTTAGAGTAAATGATTATAAACAATAACCTATAAGTCATCATCATTAATACCACCAGCACTATGTGATGCCATGCTAGGCTATTCCGTGCTATTCTATGCTATGTTATGCGATATGATGCTATTCTATTCTATGCTATGCTATGCTATATGCTGCTATGCTATACTATACGCAATAACAATAGCTAATTGAATGTAGATGCTATGCTATAGAGAGAGAGAGAGAAAGAGAGAGAGAGAACGCACCTGTGCTAGTAGACTGCTGATAACCATATCCCAGTGTCTTCAGAGGGCTGCCTCCTACCCCCTCCCCCTCCCCCTGTAGCATCCCCCCTTCCTCCTCCTCCTCATCCTCCTCGCTCGCTGTCTCTGTGCCTGACCCCGGCGTGTCATCATCGTCGTCGGTGATCGAGTCTGCGGCGTTGCCGCGGCGACGGTGCTGCTGCTGTGGGTGGAAGCCGTGTTTGTGCAGACGGCCGGCTATCGTCGCCTGCATGACGGCCGGCATGTAGACGAGACGCTTCCACTGCCTGGTCAGCGCCATCAGACCTGCGCGAAGGGGGGAGAGCGAGCGATGAGAGACGCGCGGCGGCAGTCTACAACGCGAGCGAAGTTACCGTTTACGATTACGATCGCGAATAATTATTATTACATTTCATCGTATAATAATTATAATAATAATGGTTAATTTATTCATTAATTATTTATTTAATTTGATCATTAATTATATATTAAACTTTAGTTAAAAATTTAGTTAATTTAGTTATTAATTTAATTAATTCAAATTATAATGTAATCATCGTTATGTGAGGACAGATTCATTCACATTCACACACGGTTTACAACACTTCACGCACAAGCGTTTTCAAAACGTACAAAACGCAATTTCAGACTTATGACTACATAGCTACTCAAGAAGTTTCTTGACAAGGTTTGACCGAGGGAAGGGGAGAGAAGTTACGATTTACGGTTACGATCGCGAATAATTATTATAACAGTTCATGGTATAATAACAATAAAATTAGGGGCCCCAGGAACCCAGTAAGATGTGTATAAGTGCCTCTCTGCAGGGTTCTTAGGTCGGGTGCGACGTCAGTGTTCACGGACGCCTCGATGTCGCTGAGGTTTGTGTGCAGCAGGTAACGATGAAGAACGTTCATCAGCTGACACGATGGGTCATCAAGGAGCACCCTGGACAGTGGCGCCACCTTACTGGATTTAGCCTGCAACGTGACGTAACGTCTCGTCATTACGGTCGCAAACGATTATTGTCGTGTTTTGTAATGTAATAAAATTGATTAAACTATTAGTTAAACTGTTTGATTTAGTTAATAATTTAATTATCAATATAATAGTTGTTTCGTGAAGATGGATTCATTCATATTTACATGAAGTCAACACCACATAGGTTGCAGATTAACTAAAGCACAACGCACACACAGAAAATTTTTTGTTTTCCAGCGTTTCGCGTTCTGCTCGGCGAGCAAGCGCACACACGCCACCCGACACAGCACACAGCTGAGCAAAACATACAGAAACACTGCGTACAGCGCCGCTGTCACATGACATCCAAGATGGTTGTCGCCATTTTGTGTGTCATGTGATATTTTTAAGGATATTGATTGG